ACAGACAGACAGAACGACAGACGAAGCGCTTTATAGTAAGTAGGATAGACGTGGGCGGTGTGCAGTTACCGTATCGCTATTTACTGAGTGGGGTAAAAGGTAATGCGCCCACAGCAACGCCTAGCTTTCCTACTTGACAGCAAACTTAAGATACCAAAGGTTAGGCCTTCGACATCGTCTCAGGAGGTACTTATAGTAAGCATTACCTAAGGTGATTAGCTACACTAGTAGTAGGCTCACAACGATTTCAAACACACGCTTCACAAGAATATTCCAGGCTCACTGACATAAGTAGGGTCATCAAAACAGATTGATGGACGCGACAATCCCGAGAAGTTTCGAGAAAGGTAATTAAGACATCAAGAAGCGCAGTATCCTGTGTTGATCTTTATAATACATATATGTTCAGGTTTTTATGGTGCACTTATGCTTTTCCTACTATTGAAACCAGGTTCACATTAGCCTCGACCCTCATTGATTTGTGGCGCGTTACATTGTTTCACTCTGTGGCAAGGAACCTGATAAATTTGACATCTGTTGACCTTCCATCATTCCGTCCAGGCGGCCATATGTCTCACTTCCTTTATGCCACTAGGCCATAGAGTGTATCCGCAGGAATTTCTGCAAGCTGTAAAGCAATTAAGCTGAGAATGGCTTACATGAGGTAAGTTACTTACATAGGTTTTCTCTTCTCGTTCCCTCGGAAAGGCATAATAGTAACAGCGATTTGTGTGAGGTCACGTCGAGGTTCCTTCCTTGATTTCGCAACGATTCAGGAAGATCTCTGTATCCCGAGGGAATGGTTCGCTCTGCGTGGCAAAAAATCTCTCTGACGCCCTACTCATCAGGAAAGGTGGAACGGATTATTACACTACTCTCAACAGCGTTCCTGCAAAAAGCATTTTCATTGCTAAACTAGACATTTTAGCACATTTGGAATACAACCATGCAAGACAAAGCAAAAGGAGGACAGTCGACTAGGTGGATCGACGACCTACCGTCCCTCAGCTTTTTCCACTAGACTATAGCAGCTTTCTTATCCAAAATTATACCAAATGTTGCTGATTGATTGTCAGTCAGTGTGTGATCCGGTCTTGCTGGCCGATCCAAATGATCGATACGGCAGCAATGTAACAGGTGCCGAAAATATCTAGTGATCCACACTCATTTTGTAAGCCTTTTAATTATTTATGGTTGCTCTTGGTTTTTCCTGAGTAGAACGTTAAGACTGAAGAAAAACTGAACAAGGGAACCTAATGCGTAGAATACGATTTTTCCGACACTTCTGTTTTACCATAGTCTTGTAGAAAACTTATGTTCTTGAGGTTTTGTCCGATGAAACTAAGGCTGAGCTTGTGATGCATACATGGGAAGATTAGGTGGTTCAGCTTTCTAAGTGAGCGGTCGGCGATTTAAATACATCGTTTCTATAGCTGAAATCGTTGTAGGGGATGAGTGTAAATACTAGTCATGACTACTCATTTCGATATAGATCTGCCTCGGCTCATTATATTGATTCCTCTATCGAACCATTGTCGGGAAAGATTTCCTCTCCGAGATATTCCATGCAGGAAAAACCGAACGCACAAAGTTCACACTTTTTTCACAAGCCTTTAAGATGCCATAAAGCGAATAAAGTGGCAGCCGGTGGATTCCAGATATATTGAATTCATTCATGCGGAGATTCGTGACACTACTTTCCTACATGACTATAACGATTAAGATACTAGCATAGGTAACCTAAGCGTAGTGAATCAGGTACAGGTCATTCAATGCTCAAACTGTCAGCACGTCAAAACTAGGCCGGTTGATTATGTCACGATCATTCCTATACAATATGTGAATTATGAAGAGTCCCGGGTCGATCAACAGGCATTTTCGATGTCAAGGGCAGTTGCATTTAAGGAATCACCCTCTTCGCAGGTGGTGGGTTTTAGACGTAGTTGCTGGTGGAATCTCAAGAATCAGGAGGAGAATCAGCTGCGAAAGAGGCTCTGTCCTATTTTCACGAGCTTTAAGAATCCCCGTGCAAATCTTCATCTTACCACTTTGCAATCTGACTCAATCACAATCTGTAATATGAAATAAGAAGTCAATAAGCTCGTCCTCATAACTGAGTATACCCAAGGAACGTCTGGGAGTATCATAACTACAAGAAGAGCGAAAGTCATATCATGGCTTCTCCACTTCCACTCAGTTCAATGTTCCCATGGATAGTAAGAGGCTTCACCAGTAAGCCTGAGCCGCTTGTCTTAAGGGAATGCTGAGCTGGCAATTTGGTAAAACATCCCAGTGAGAAATAAAATCCGTTTAGAAATCTGAAAAGTTCTGCGCTGGACTGATAGCGCTTTCTGCATTGTCATTAACTTACAACCTTGACTAATTCTACATTTCATGAATTCATGACTTCCCTCGCTTTCTTAAAGTAAACTGCGATGAGAATATGACATTTGAAGGCTAGTTCAGCTTTGAATTGAAGTGAACCATAGCTTCTATTCGCAACATTCGTATAGTGGAGCATCTGACTAAATGTTATTCCAACACCGCTGTTACGTTTTTGTAGTATGCTGGCGCGATGAAAAGTGACTATTGTGGTTGAATATGTTGCGTTCTTTGGAGTTTCAGACGTTTGCTAATTCACATTTCGTTTCTACGACCATTAATGTTAGAACACGTCACCACTTATCCGCGAAATGATTACTAGTGAAAGGAAATGGTATATGGTAAGTACAGCAAAAGTATCGACCTGGAATTTAGCTGCAAAACTGACCATGGGTCGTTTGATCAAATGTAATAATTAGGATTAACACTCAAAGCTTGAAGCGTTGGTACCATTGTCGAAAACATTTGATAACGAAACGACAAAAAATCTCGCGAACAAAACACTCAGTGGGAGTATAAATGAACTCTTGATGGTCGGATAACTTCAAGAGTTATGATTACCTTTCGAAGCTGACCATATCTATTTGCGGTGTTTGCTCAAGAGCACTCAAAAAACGCCCGTCCCCGTAACACCTGAGAAACGCACAAAAATTTCCTTTAAAGTCCCAAAAGTAGTAAGTGTAAAAGAATTTCAAAATCACTACTATTTTTATGACCGGGCGTGTCCAGGCAACGCACCCTTGTCGGATTTCCATCTAACGCTTCGCCATTATATGAAGTTCCAATAGTTACGGTCTCTTCCAAAGACTTGAGCACATTGCGCAAAGTTTTCTTTCAATTTCATTAGTTCACGGAATTCGGGCATCGGGCAAATAAACTACAAAATTTTGACTGGCCCAAGGTAAATACCACACAGGTCGCTTGCACGTTTCGATTAAATGGGAGGATTACAAGAACCACGCGTATGTGACACTTTCAAACATAGCCAGTATTCATTCCGAATTTAAACTGGAACTTCTCAACAGTGTTTAGCAAGTGTTCTACACCCACATGCACATTTATGAGTTTCGTTGGCAGTGCTCAGGTACGGATCTGGCTAACTGTCGCTTTACACCATGCGATTCTGATTAGAATTGTGTCTGCGAATACACATATACCACAGTCTCTAGCGCTTTCTTGCCAATGAGTTCTACCTCTCTTCTAAAAGCACATTGTTTCTCGTGATGCCTGGCAGAGCTCTCCTCACCCCGCCCTCCTATAGAAAGCTGCTGGCATTCTGTCCTTCTGCTAGCAGGCACCCGCCCGTGCCTAAATCATGAGGCAAGGAGTGCCATTATGGTAAGTTTCCTTCTGCCTTTCCCTTTTATATTGGTTATGTGTGGCAGACTTGGTATTTTGCAAAATAAAAGGCTTCTGACTGGGTTGAAGAGACGGACGATGTTTCTGCTTTAATCGTACGATGGGATTCAGACTTTTTCCTATTCAGAATTTGTAAGGCGAAGCATGGCGCCGTGTTGTAGAACGGGCAGCTTTTTACTTGGACATAGGAAATAGCAAAAATTTTCAGGCCTCTATTGCTTCTCAGTGCTTGTGCTTTTCTGGCAGTCGACGTGTGTTCGGTAAGTCGTTATGTCAGATATTCGGGTGCTTCACTTCATATTTTTCTGCAGAGCTGATCTGTGAGACGTGAACGTCATGAGCGTGCAAACGCTCATCTTTGTTGTAAGGGAGTACTTGCTCTCGGATCGGCTTAGCTCCCGGGAGTACCATTTCATCTGTACTGTCTGTGTTTTCTTTCGCAATCGATCAGTTACCTTAATAGATTATACTTAGTCGGGTAATCTACTTTGGCGTGTTTAGTAGGCATGAGTTATCTTGATGAAATGAACAAGCATTCTCATTGTTTGCTTTCGCATAAATGATCATAATTACCCACTAGGAGCGTCAGCGTTTTTTTGATCGTTTTTGAAATTGATTTCTCCAGTATTACCCTATGACCAATGTTTGTTTAATGTTGGGTTTCAATGAAGCCCAATCATGCTCCGGTAATCCTGTGCTCGTCCGCCAACTATTACAGTATTTAACGGATATCCAAGGTATACATTATTCTTCTCGTATAATGTCTAAGTTGGATTAGTGTGATGTCAGCAGCTCTTGCTGAGTTGAGAAAACTCTTTTCCGAATTCCACTAGTTTTTATGAAACTAATCTCAGATCCATCGTTTTGACTCCCTTCCATGTTTAAAAATTAGCACCCTTGCCGTTCTTTTCTTTTTCGGTGCTTCAATTAAAAGATTTTCCCAATTGTCCTTTCTGTTCTTTACAACATTCTAGCCTTCCTTCTGGGGATCATAATACTTCGCATTTCCTTGTCTTCAGAATTGCTGAGACTTTAACTGCTTTTCATTAGAATATTGTATTCTAGCAAACGACTTGTCGAGATTGTTCCAATCGAGGATGCTTTTGCGTAGGAGAGAAAGGTTCCATGGTGAGTGTAACTATCACTTTTCGTTATCCCATGCGCATGACACTCATAACTATTTTTATTATTCTTGCAAGGGAGCAGAAAAAGTAAGACGGTAAGATACACGTTGTTCCGTTGAGGTTTGTTGGCACTGCTCATGTTTTGATATCCTCACGTTATTTACTAAATTCAACACAAAAAATTATGGGACGCTTTGAGCGCCGATATTCACGCAGGTTAAGCCCACCTACGATGGGAAGCGCTGGTGTTGTCCAGTTGCGCTAAGTTTGATGAATCAGTGGAAATATCCGTGTTACATCGCAAGAGCGAGGCAAGCGGCTGCTGGCCAACAGCACACAATGCGAGATCTTGCGATTGAGCGAGACGAAGGCTGATTCCTTCCCTCACTTACCTTCCAATACTTTGAAAGAAAATCGTGTCGCGCATCATTCATCGAAGAGTCTTCGAAGGAGTCGTTTGTCGCTCAAGTAGTGTGAGATCATATTTATCCTTCAAGACCTGAACTGTATCCAGCGGAAGCACAGAAAACAACTTCTGTGAAATGAATTCATTTATTACATTTGAGGTTTTTTTCTGAACTTCTGAAAAAAATCCCTTCAGAAGAGGGGATGAATTTAATTGCGATTGTTGTGTTCAGAGTCGCCATAAATACGATTAATTTCCAGGGCTCACCAGGACCACAGGGACCTCCCGGTTTGCAAGGTATTCGTGGCTTTCCTGGACCTGAAGGGCTAGCAGGACCTAAAGGTCAAAAAGGTGCACAGGGACCACCTGGAGCAGGTGGCCCAAAAGGAGATCGAGGGCCGATTGGTGTGCCTGGATTCCCCGGCAATGACGGTGCCAATGGACGACCAGGAGAACCTGGCCCACCTGGAGCGCCCGGATGGGATGGATGTAATGGAACGGATGGTGCTCCTGGAATACCTGGGCGGCCAGGGCCACCAGGTATGCCTGGGTTTCCAGGTCCTCCTGGAATAGCTGGCGCTAAAGGAGAACCTGCAATAGGATATGACGGTGCTCCAGGAGAGAAGGTTCGCTTTTTCGATGAGCAGCTTTATTGCAATTCAGAATTGAGTTCGTATTAAGGGAGATGGTGGTATACCTGGCATGCCAGGACTACCAGGACCACCCGGCAGAGACGGATATCCAGGAGAGAAAGGAGATAGAGGGGATATTGGACCTGTTGTAGGCATTTTTTCTCTATTTTGTTACAAAAAAAATGTTACGTTTTTCATTTCAAACTATTTGCAGGGACCACGAGGCCCACCCGGAGAAGCTGGGATTCCGGGTAATCCCGGCATCGGTAGCATCGGACCTAAGGGAGATCCGGTAAGATTAGTCAATCTGTGCATTGTGCATTGAAGAACTTTTCCTATTATATTTAATACGATAAGCACGATGGGGTATGAATGAGGAAGCCACAAATATCAAGGAATGCAAGAAACTTCTGGAAGGTTCTCGGATCATTTCGTGCCCTCTGGAAATTATTATTCCAGCTGAAATCGTTTTTTTTTTATTATTGTTATTTATTACATGCACAAAACGTACATGGAAATTTGGACAGAGGTCCATATAACAACGTAATAACAAAAAACGTAATAACAAAAACAAAACCACTTCAGTTAAGTGAATGGAATTTGAGAAAAAAATACAACAAAATGAAAGTAAGAAACAAAAAGAAACGTACCTGACTATCCTCTAAGTATCATGATGTAATAAAAAAAGAAAAAAAAGAAGGCGACTGAGCTCTCAATTATAAAATGTAGACAAAATTCGTTTGAGATAGGCAACCCCTTAGGCATGGAGTGTTTCTTGGTTAATTTACTGAATTCGGCAGAGGCCCGAACTGAGAAGAAGTGTGATCTCAAACTAGTTCTCGCAAAAGGTCGAACTAGCTTTGATTTTTCCCCTCTAGTGATCGACGTGCGAGGGGTGAATAAACCTTGCATGTCAATCGATATTTTGCCTGTCAAAATTTTGTACAAAGTTATGAGATCCAAGTTCTTCCGCTGACACGCAAGAGAATCTATCGCGAGGATCTTGTTCCTGACAGTTGACTTGGGAATGGAATTATAATTAAAGCCAAGAGCTCGAACAAAAACTTTTCTAGTGAAGCTATTTTGAACTAACTCCAACTTAATAATCGATTCTTTCTTACACGGATAGAAAACCATTGACCCATGCTCCAAAATGGAGCGAATACCAGATTTGTAGGCTTTAATGAGGATATAAGGGTCTTTTGTGTACAAACTTCGGAAGAGCTGTGCTAATCTACCCTCACCTCAATGAACTAAGGACGTGATATGAGCATCAAAAGACAGCTTATTATCAATTAGAAATCCCAAATCTCTGACAACAGTAAGATTGCTGAGTTTGGATCCATCGGCGTAATAATTAACAGTACCCCGAGCCTTATCTAAGCTGAGAACTGAGGTTTTATTTGCGGACAGCGGCAACTCCCAGAGTTTTGACCACTTAACAACTCTTTCAGTAGCTCCTTGAACTAAGATGAAATCCATTTCAGAGACTATAGTCTTATAAACATCATCAGCAAACATTTTACACTTTACATCATTTTCCTCTACTACACTAGGGAGATCGTATATATATATATATATATATATATATATATGTATATATATAATAACACCGGAGAGAGCTCTTCATTCCCTTAATCTGTGACCAAGATTCCCGGCATTTTCCCTCCGCACAGAAAAATGGAAAACCTCATTTTTCATTGAATCCCACTCTGCCCTTTTGTTGCACTCAAGCTTAGGCTGCTGTGGCTGTTTAACTCATTAGATGAGATGCCAATGAGAAAGTTTTACAACAACTCCGAAAGAGATGGAAGGGAGTTTTGAGGAGAGTGATTTTCAGACTCTTCGAATGACATTAACATGTTGTTCGATTTTACTTCAAGGAATCAGAAAAAATCGAAAGCGGTATTTTGTTTCTAGGGTGATATAGGACATCAGGGCCCGCCTGGTCCTCCAGGGCCTCGTGAATTCACAGGCAGTGGCTCTATTGTAGGCCCAAGAGGAAACGTTGGAGAAAAAGGATGCAAGGTATTTACGTTTATTTTTTTTAGGGTGACGTAGGTGCACAAGGTCCGCGTGGGCCTCCCGGACCCATCGCGTCCACCATGGCAAAGGGAACGATAGTTGGTCCCAAGGGAGATGTAGGAGAAAAAGGAGAAAAGGCAAGAATCAGCCCGGACTAATATGAGCTGACTGTGTTTACTGTTCGGATGTTTTGCTGGATCGCATGCACTGCTTTTTTATATGTACATTGTTGGACGTTATATTCACTCTAACTACTTCCTGAGCTTCCCTTGTATTGAATTCGGTCAAATTTCGTATTGTACAATCGCAGTAACCTGAACCCTTGGGTCGTAGTAATGACTAGTGTTACAATGTGATTCGACAAATTCTGTTCGTGTGCGCAGCCTAAGTTAGCATGATTTTCTAACGTTCGTAGCGTCACTGATGATGAAATTTAGGGAGAGCCTGGTGAGGCTGGTCCTCGCGGTTACCCCGGAATCGCAGGAATACCTGGTCAGCCTGGTCTGCCCGGAATGAAAGGAGAAAAGGGACTGTCTGGACCAGCTGGACCAAGGGTAAGTTTTTTGCTTACACTTCCCCACTACATAACACAAATACTGATGATGTATATATCCCTTTTTCAGGGGAAGGAGGGCCGACCTGGAAATCCGGGCCCACCTGGGTTTAAAGGAGATCGCGGTCTCGATGGAGTGCCGGGATTCCCTGGTATGCCAGGACAGAAAGGTGAAGCAGGATACTCAGGAAGAGACGGACCGAAAGGAAATACCGGGCCACCCGGTCCCCCGGGAGTATGTGGCAAAGATTTCTCATCATTTTATGCTCTATGTCGGCTCGGCTCATTCGTTTTGAGCATCATTTCATGTTTTAGGGCGGCTCTTTCACTGATGGGCCGCCAGGGCCACCTGGTTTGCCCGGTCGACCTGGAAACCCTGGGCCTCCTGGCACAGACGGATTTCCTGGTCAGCCTGGACCTGCCGGCCCACCTGGACAACCTGGCGGACCTGGAGCTCCCGGCTTACCTGGGCTTGAAGGCCTTCCTGGCCCAAAAGGTGACAAAGGAGATAGCGGTATCCCAGGCGCACCTGGTGTCACTGGTTCTCCGGGACAGTTCGGTCCACCTGGACCTAAGGGAGAACCAGGTGCTCGTGGAATTCCCGGACAGAGCATCCCAGGGTTACCCGGGAAGGATGGTCGACCAGGTTTCGATGGCGCATCCGGTAGAAAAGGAGAACAAGGTCTTCCCGGCGTTCGAGGTCTGTACCTTAAACTAAAAATAGTTTGTCTTAATTTCACCGCACAACATTATTCACATTGTTTAGGGCCACCAGGAGATTCCTTGCATGGACTTCCCGGGCCTCCAGGCGCTCGAGGACCCGTGGGGCCTAAAGGATACGATGGAAGGGATGGAGTTCCTGGTCTGCCTGGTGTCACTGGTCCAAAAGGAGATCGTGGTGGTGCATGCTCTATATGCGCACCTGGAATGAAAGGAGAAAAAGGGAACTCTGGTTATCCCGGACAACCTGGACCTCAAGGAGATCGAGGCCTTCCCGGCATGCCCGGACCTAATGGCGATCCTGGAGATGATGGAATACCTGGACCTCCAGGACGACCCGGCGCTCCTGGGCCTCCAGGACTTGACGGTGTTCCTGGAGTACCTGGACAAAAAGGTGAACCGACTCAGCTCACACTCAGACCTGGACCGCCTGGTTATCCTGGTATGAAAGGAGAGACAGGATACCCCGGACAACCGGGACAGGACGGATTGCCAGGATCTCCCGGACTGGTGGGAGCTCCCGGTCAAAACGGGATCCCAGGAGAAAAGGTTGGAATAATCGAAAGGATTGCCGCTCTTCATTTTTGCCATTTTCTATTTTGCTAATATTTCCTAATTTAGGGTGAACCAGGACTGCCTGGTATCCCAGGGAAGCCCGGAAAGGACGGGTTACCAGGGCTACCTGGGCTTAAAGGAGAGCCTGGATATGGTTTCCCCGGTCAACCTGGCATTCCTGGACAGAAAGGAGAGCCTGGACCGATCGGCCCTGCTGGTCTTCCTGGAATTCAAGGTCCACCCGGTCTTGCTGCCCCTAAAAGCATGATAAAGGATGGCACTCCTGGCCAGCCTGGCATGCCCGGGCTACCAGGGCTCAAAGGTGATGCTGGATCACCTGGAAGACCTGGAGATGTCGGATCTCCTGGGCTACCTGGTGTTAATGGGCGGAAGGGAGAAAGTGGACTCCCAGGCCCACCTGGGCAGCCCGGAGTACCAGGAGTACCTGGAGAAAAAGGATTCCCAGGTTGGTCGCTCAGTAGTAGCCTTCTGAAAATTTCAAAGCCTACCGGGCTTTTCATAACTCAGACTACTTGAGTGATCCAGGTAGATTTAGTATTAGTGAAACCGGAAGGTATAGATCCGAAAAGCTACACAAAAATGGGATCGAGCAATCATGCATTCGGTTTAGAGGACCACTCATTCAACTTATGATAGGGTACACTTCTATCGAGGTGGCCTTAACTGATGCTATCCCTCAAGCATATGTTTTTTTACGAGCGGATACAGGACAGAACAGCAATGGCTCAATTTCGTGTAATTCACGACAAATTGGAGGGACATCCTAGCAATCACGCAAGAGCTGAGGTCCTCTCTTAGACTTCACGTACGCTTTTCGCATTAATTCAAAAGAGTGAAAGTTAATTCGTGCTGGCATTGTCCTACTATCAGCTGCCGTATGGTCTCCAAAATTTCACGAAGCTGTGGTGAGTCGCTCTGTTGAATTGCGTGCTCTGGAGAGTGTCAAACCTAAGTAAGACTGTGAATGCGTGTGATAGTCACGAATTGTTCTCGATTCTTTCATGGTCTGAAGAAGGCATTCTCGGCTGTGTTAAATATGTATACAAATCTCTTGAAAGTTCAAGCAAACTTCATCATTCAAACTGAAATATTTGACATAAAAAAAGCTTTGGTGGTTAGGACTCACAATATTACTCGATAAAACATTGGCTACCAAAATTACACCCATATAAGATCGACTGATAGAGGAGAAGAAGGATGAGAAGGGCAAGGTTTCACAACCTGAAGAGCAGAGTTAAATAATAAAGGTGATCAGTAATTTGTATGAGAGTATTTAATTCATTCGAGTGGAGAGCTTCAGAAAATTATTGTCTTCTGACCGAAACAGGAAGTGATAGTGTGGGGGGGGGGGGGGGGGGAGCGAAACATTCACCCAGAACTGGATGGAGAAACCGCGCGGCGAAACTCGTGGTGATTAAAACGACTGCTGCGCCTATCATTGGAGCAGGGGTTACAAGTAGATTGGATAAGTATCACTAGCTGATGCTGCTTCTCTACCCCACTTCAAATTTGTGCCCAAATGATAGGGGCCAGAGTCGTTTTAATCACCACGAATTTCGCCGCGCGGTCTGCCGCGTCCATCCAGTTCGGGTGAATGTACCCATACCCGGTAGTGGGCGCTGTCGATGTATGCTCATTTTTCTTCTAGGAGCAACACGAGATACACAGATCAGATTCTTATTACATCTTTGCATACATCTTTGGTAAGGATTCGTGTAATACTAGAGCTTACAGCCACATTTGGTTGTGGCACTTGTACTGCTAGGTTTCAGTGTTTTCCAAATTCTTCAGAGTCTTTGAAGCGTTGGTTGAAATGGTTTACTCGTCACATGAAGTTTTAAGAAGGTGTCTTCGTTGAAATTTCATCCGAGCGAAATACTGTTTGCAAAGTGAGTAAAAACGATATAACGCTGTCACCGCCGACATGCTCATATTCAAGAAGTATATAATCTATCTGAAAGAATCTTTAAGGTGGATCATGGGACTTTTGAATTATGAGACACAAATTTGCGGACGTGTAACTAGGACCCGATTTGTCTAGCTCCAACTTCTTTCCTTTTATCCTGGTAGCTAGGGCACTACTTCTGAAAAAAGAATCTAGTCCGAACTCGTTTTGAAATTTAGAAATCTGGCTCAATTCCATATCTTCGCGATGAACAAGTCTTACCCCTTTCACAGAAAAAAAAACGTATTGAACCATGCTATTAGACTATAGGATCTAGGGAGCTGGTATAATATAAAATAAATGGACTATTTACATAAAATATAATACTAATGAACTACCCAGCTGCTGTTCATTTTCGTTTGACACTGTGTGGCCATGCTATTCTTTTTCAAACCTGGATTTTCAATTAGCCTTCAAATAGGCAGGTTGGTCATGCAAGCATCACGCTAAACAATACAGAAGAGAACCCTTTCATTATTATCTGACACCAACCGCATTTAATAATCATTGCAGTGCAGAGCGTAATCGATGAAAAAGTATAGTTGTTCAATCCAACAATGTTCCGTTTTATTGATTGACCGGATCAACATGCGTCTACATTATAGGTCTCAATGGGCTTCCCGGCGTACCTGGGCCAAAAGGCGAACCAGGTTCTTCTGGTTTGCCTGGAATGCCTGGTCAAAAAGGAGAGCACGGAGCATCGGTGAGCGGTCCTCCCGGACTACCTGGGTTTCCTGGACTCAAAGGAGACGCTGGGCTACCTGGAACTCCTGGATTTGCTGGCCTAGAGGGGCAGCGAGGGCTGCCTGGCGTTCCTGGACTGAAGGGCGATACAGGATCGACTGGACAGCCTGGACAACCTGGATACCCTGGAGCTAAAGGAGAACCTGGACTCCCTGGAAGCGCAGGTTTGCATCTATTTGTTGTTAGATCTCTCAAGTGCTCAGTGGTAGAACTATCTAGTGAATGAAAACTGAAAGCTTTTTACCAGCTTCAGCACTCGCGAAATGGTGGCAAGGACAGTAGTTATATAAATTTATGGCATTGAACCTAAGGCGGTTTCATGACCATATTCAAGTATCACTCTTTGCCAGTATCAAGTGACATACAAAAAAAATTGAATGCCCTTGAGGCAAGGTGACAAATACTCTCCTAAACTCAGTGTAGTTTCTCTCCATCATGTCTCATACCCCTTGCGAATTATCGAGGGAAAGATACGAACAATGTCTTTACAAGCCACGACTCGTTGGAGCGCTAGATAAATTATTCCACATTTCTGAAAAAAGCTAAGTTTAAATGCCATACGAAAGACTCATTTTTCCAAATACATTGGAGAATGGATCTTTTTTGTGGCGCTGCATGAATTTTTCCTAATGGGCTATTTTATAGACATCCACCGAAGTCAGAAGCGCTTTGGAAAACAATCTTGTTTGAGAAAGGATGATCAACATAAGATGCATTACTTACTTGGATACTTGGACGCTCGTTGTCGGCTGATATTTCTCAGCGGCGAGCACACGCTTCCATCCATTTTTGACGATCTTGAGCGGTTTGGGACCAGTGTTGACCATCGTTTTCCTGAAGTTTCTTCAGTGAATCACTCCATCTCGTTGCAGGACGGCCTAGTGTGCGTTTAATCTCACGTGGGTACCAGAACGTGACGCGAGTGGTCCACCTGTCGTCCGTGCGTCTAACCACGTGCCCTGCCCATCGTTTCTTTGCGTTCCACGCGTACACTTCGGCGTCACGGATGCCGGACATTGAGCGCATGTCTGCGCTGCGGAGGTTAAGACTTCTCTGCTTTGCGCGGTTGATCTTCAGCAGCGTCCGCTCAGAGCTCTTTGTGCGCGAACCAGCATTAGCGTTGACGTCTTGTTCTCCGCCCACGTCTCGGATGCGTAACAGAGTGCTGGCAATACCGTAGAGTCGAAAAGGTCAGCTCGTACTTTCTTGTCCGATACGAGATGA